GTTCTAATTATATGACCAACTCAACTGATATACTCAAAAACATCTGTGAGTATAATGGTCCAACACAAATTCAGGTTGCCAATGATAGTAATTTACCCATTACCAAGGTTGGGGATATTACTGAAACTTTCAAAAATATTTTTGTATCACCAAAACTCTCCACTAGTCTTATTTAGGTTGGCCAATTGATAGATAACAGTTGTAATGTGAACTTTTCTCATAATGGTTTTCTTGTGCAGGATCAGGTGTCGGAGACGATAATCGTGAAGGGGCCTAAAGTTGGAAGATTGTTTCCTATACACTTTTCTATTCCTCCTGTTCTAGCTTTTGCTTCCACCACTACTAAGAATGAGGTTTGACATAAACGTCTAGGACATCCAAATTCTATTGTATTGTCTCATTCGTCCAATTCGAATTTATTGAGAAATGAAAATCAATTTTCAGTTGCTTTCTTTGATTGTTCTACTTGTAAATTAGGCAAAAGTAAAACTCTTACTTTTCCTAATTTTGGTAGTAGTGCTGCAAAGTGTTTTGATGTCATTCATAGTGATGTTTGGAAAATTTCACCAGTAATTTCTCATGCTCATTTCAAGTATTTTGTGACATTTATAGATGACGAAAGTCGGTTTACATGGGTGTATTTTATTCGATCTAAATTTGAAGTGTTTTCCATATTCAAGAAGTTTTTGGCTTACGTTGAGACTCAATTTTTCACATGCATCAAAATATTAAGATCTGATTCTGGTGGAGAATATATGCCTTATGAATTCAATAACTTGTTGCTTGAGAAAGGAATTGTATCACAAAGCTCTTGCTCATACACGCCACAACAAAATGGGGTTGCTGAGAGTAAAAATCGTCATCTTTTGGATGTCACTCGTATTTTATTGATTGAGTCCTCTGGTTCATCTAAATATTGGGTTGAAGTTGTGTCTACAGATGTCTTTTGATTAATAGACTTCCATCTAAAATGTTAAACCTTGAGTCTTCATATTATCGTTTTTTTCACAAACATCCTAGCTATCATAGTTTTCATACATTTGGTTGTGTTTGTTTTATGCACATGCCTCCTTCTCAACGCAATAAACTCTTTCTTCAGTCTATTAAATGTGCTTTTATTGGCTATAGTACTTCGCAGAAATGATTTATTTGTTATGATTCAAAATCTAACAAATTTCGTGTTTCTAGGAATGTTATTTTCTTTGAGAATCAATATATCTTTCCTACTCATATTGAGTCATCTTCTGTTTCTCCTCTTCTTCCTAATTTTGAGGATTTGGCATTGTCTTCTAGGCTATAGTACTTCGCAGGAATGATTTATTTGTTATGATTCAAAATCTAACAAATTTCGTGTTTCTAGGAATGTTATTTTCTTTGAGAATCAATATATCTTTCCTACTCATATTGAGTCATCTTCTGTTTCTCCTCTTCTTCCTAATTTTGAGGATTTGGCATTGTCTTCTAGGAGGTTCAAACCAAGATTTGTGTATGAACAACGTCGACCAATTTACCCCATTCTGAAACAGATGCGCCACCTGAGACTGCTCCACAATTAGAATGTGAGATTTCTCCAAGGCCTGCTCCTCTTGAGCCTCCTCAGTGATCTAATAAGGTGTCTCAAACTCTTAAAAGGTATGTTTTTTCTTCTACTTTATCCACCATCTCTATTCCAATAGGTTACTCATAAGCCTCCGAGCTTGAATATTGACAAAAAGCAATGGAGGAGGAACTTTTGGCTCTTAAAGAAAATGACATATGAGACATTGTTTCATGTCCTTCAGATGTCCATCCTATTGGATGTAAATGGGTTTATTCAATTAAACTTCGTTCTGATGGAACTCTTGATCGGTATAAAGCTCGATTGGTTGTTCTTGGTAACAGACAAGAGTATGGACTTGACTATGAAGAGACTTTTGCACCAGTAGCAAAATGACTACGGTGCGAACTATTATTGCCATTGTTGCTTCACAAAACTGGACTCTTTATCAAATGGATGTCAAAAATGTTTTTCTCCATGGTGATCTCAAAGAAGATATTTATATGAAACCTCCACCTGGTTTGTTCTCATCACCTATATCAGATGTATGCAAGTTGAAGCGTCTTTGTATAGATTAAAACAAGCTCCAAGAGCTTGGTTTGATAAGTTCCGGTCTACTTTGCTATAATTTTTTTTTGAGCAGAGCAAATATGACTCGTCTATGTTTCTTGGGAAAACATCTACAAGTTGTGTTCTTCTTTTGGTGTATGTAGATGACATAATCATCACAGGAACTGATTTTCCACTAATCACTAGCCTCCAACAGCAACTTAAAGATTCTTTTCATATGAAAGATCTTGGTACTCTTACATATTTTTTGGATTTGGAAGTTGATAATGTTGCTTCAGGTGTGTTTCTAAACCAACACAAATATACTCAGGATCTTATTTCTTTGGTTGGTCTTCAAGATTCCTCCTCCATAGATACTCCATTGGAATTGAATGTGAAGTATCATCGTGAGAAAGACGATCTTCTTCCTGATCCAACTATGTTTTGACAATTAATTGGGAGTCTAAATTATCTTACTATTACTCGGCCTGACATCTCTTTTGTAGTGCAACAAGTTAGTCAATTTATGCAAGCTCCCCGTCATCTCCAATTGGTGGCTATTCGTCGCATCATTCGGTATCTTTTAGGAATATCTACTCGTGGATTGTTCTTTCCAAGTGGTTCTTCTTTCATCTTAATGCTTTTAGTGATTCTGACTAGCAGTATGTTTCAGTCATTGGTTGGTGCATGTTTCTTCGAAAGTCATTGATATCCTGAAAGAGCAAAAAGCAAGATCGTGTGTCAAAATCTTTAACAGAGGCTGAATATCGATCCATGTCTACTGCTTGCTCTGAGGTTGTATGGCTTCGTGATTACTTGCTGAGATTGGATTTCCTCAATCTCATCCTACTCCTCTTCATGCTGATAATACAAGTGCTATTCAGATCGCTACTAATCCAGTTTTCATGAGACGACCAAAAACATCGAAGTAGATTGTCATTATATACGAAAAGTTGTAGATAAAGGAGTCATTACTTTTCCACATGTGTCTAGTGATCTTCAAATAGCTGATGCGTTTACAAAATCTATGGCACGACAACACCATCAGTTTCTAGTAGGCAAATTGATGCTTCTTGATCCATCAACATCAATTTGATGGGGGGATGTTAGCATGATGGAAATCTAAATAGTTGTATATATTAATGTAATTAGATAATGGTATAAATTAGCATGATCATATAGTTTTGTTGTAGAATTAAAGAAATAAATATTGTGATACAATAGCGAATTTGGAGGGATTGAATAGCAGATATAACAGATTTGTAGAGATAGAATAGCTGATCTTTAGGGATATGAATGATGGATCTTTAGGGATTTGTAATATTTATTCTCTCTATATAATAGAAAGACTCTCATTTTGAGAGGCATTCAACAAAACTGACAATTTTAACCTCTGAATCTTAATACTACATTTAGTTATTCAGACATTCATTTAAATTCAAATATTTTAATCTTAATCGTAAATATATTTAATGTGATTAAGTTATCTACCTGATGAGCTTACGAGAACAAATGGAAATAGTTTAATCTGGATATTCTATTCTTAAATAAAGACTTAAATGGGCCCTTCAATTAAAAAATCTTTAATAATTAACACAACTTTGGAGCAATTATATTAATATCTCTGTTTCAACTCTAAGGTGAGATATATTCCCGAGTCCGGAGCCTGAAGGGTACAAAATATTAACAAAAATTTTAAAACGGTATATAAAATTTTATATTAACCAAAATGGCAAAATCGCTGCAACAAAAATGATTTACTCCACTAGAAAAAGCAAAATTGTTGCCTCTGCAGCGATTTTGCAAAATGTGAATTTTTTTTTTAAAAAATGAAATCGCTACCTAGGCAGCGATTTTCAAAAAAATAATTCTTTTTTAAATATGGAAAATCGCTGCCTCAAAAAAAAATAATTAAATCGCTCAGCGATTTTATAAAAAAAATTTAAATATGGAAATCGCTGCCTAGGCAATGTTTTTTCTGAAAAAAAATTAATTTTTTTTAAGAAAGTTGCTTCCAAGTCAGCCATTTTTATTTTTATTTCTTTAAAAAAAATAATTTTAAAAAACGAAATAGCTTTTTCATTTATTTTTTTTTAAAAAAAAGTTAACTAAATGGTGGCAGTGATTTCATATAAATTATTATTATTTTTAAATATTAAATCGCTGTTAGTGTAGCGATTTTAGTTTTTTTTTTAGCATTTTTAAGTATCTCTTTTCATGTAGCGATTTCATAAACAACAATATATAATATACACTCATGATCATTACTTGAAGAGATCATTATTTTTAACTTTGAAGTCTGCCATTATGGAAGAGTCTAGCCAAAATTTGAATCATTTGAATTTTTCCTAATCGGATTCAACTGATAGGTAAATAAAATAATGTTTTTTTATTTCTTAAAACTATTTTTCTTATATGTAATATATTTATATTATTATTTTTATAGATATAATCAAATTCAAAATGCAGTGAATTATTGTACACAAATTGTAAATAATAATGTTATGGGTGATGAACGAGTTGGTGCCTAGGCCAACGATTTAAAATTTAAAAAAATAAAATAATTTTTTTTTAAATTTAAAAAAAAATTAAAAATTATAAAAAATTGAAAATCGCTGCATGGGCAGCGATTTTTCTTATTTAAAAAAAAATTATAAAAAATTGAAAATCGCTACATGGGCAGCGATTTTCAAAAAAAAAAAGTTTTAAATCGATGCCTAGGTAGCTATTTTATTTTTTTAAAAAAAAATTCACATTTTGCAACTGGTGGAGTAAATCGCTATTGTTGCAGCGATTTTACCGTATTGGTTAATATAAAATTTTATATTCCATTTTAAAATTTTTGTTAATATTTTGTACTCCGGATTAGTTTTCATTTTTGGCCATTTCTTTATGTCTATTTTTTTTACAATAAAGTCTAAACTATGATAAATTTTGGTTGGGTCTAATCTCATCGATCTACTTTTAAAGTCAACTCCTCCCTCTATCTTTTTGCTACAATTCTTTTTCAATTTTATGCAAGACAGAACCTTTCAAGCCATTATTGATCTCTAAGGTAAGATTCCGTTTGCTTTACTCGAATTTGATGCACTTGAGCTTATCGTAATTTTTTGAAAATAGTCTTTCTACATTCGAAGCAGTACTCTTACCCGAGCTTACTTGGTGGAATTTCACTATTTATGTTGTTGTTTTGTTATTTTTCTAATTTGATTGATCTTTATGTCTTGTTTTACTATAATAATGGAATGCATATACTGTTATTCAGAAGAATTTGATGGAGGGTCTTTTGGAAACCGTCTTTTTACGAAGTAGTGATAAAATCCACGTATACTCTACTCTAACATTGTTATTTGTTTTGTAATTTCTAATTTGATTGTTTGTGACAATTTTCATGTCTTGTTTTACTACAGTAATGGAACATATATTCACAAGACTTTAGATGTGGCATTGTTAATCATTAGAGTATGTTGTTGTTAATGAAGATTCTATTTCCATCAATCGTTAGAGGCCAAGCTAATTATAATATGGAGAATTCAGAAGAGTCTTGCATCGAACCTTATTATCCATCAATAGACGAAGAACTAGTGGGGTTTGATGAACATGCACAAAATATAACTGATTATTTGATACGAGGAACCTGGGACCTGGACGTTGTCTCGATTGTTGGAATGGCTGGTTTAGGGAAAACAGCTCTGGCTAGAAAGGTATACAATAGTCGTTCTATTATTGATCGTTTTGACGTTCGAGCTTGGTGTTCTGTTTCACAAACATATAATAGGAGACAGTTGGTGCTTCAGATTCTAACACAAATTACAGGTGATCATCCTTCTAACTATGTTAACTTGGATGATCCTGAAGACATATTGCGAAAGTGTCTAAACGGAAAAAGATATCTTGTCGTATTAGACAACATATGGGATGGTAAGGCATGGGATGATTTTCAATCATGTTTCCCTGATTTTAATCATGGAAGTAGAATAATGATAACAACTAGAGATAAAGCGATGGCTAGCTATGTTAAGGGGTACAGTTTTCCTTATTCGCTTCCACGTCTAGAAGATGATCAGAGTTGGGAACTATTGCAGAAGAAAGTATTTGGACGAGGGAAATCGTGTCCTTTGGAACTAGTGAATGTAGGAAAACTAGTTGCCAAAGCATGTAGAGGACTGCCTTTATTGATCATCATGATTGCTGAAGTTCTTTCAAGAGAAAGAGAAGGGTCTTCGTGGCTTAAGGTTGCATATGATATAAGTTCTCATGTTCCCAATAAGGAGATTATCATGATGACGATACAATCAAGTTATGACCATTTACTGGACCATTTGAAGCCTTGCCTTATCTACATGGGATTGTTTCCTAAAAAATACGAAATTCCAGTATCTGATCTACTCAAGTGGTGGATAGCTGAGGAGTTTGTGCACCACATTGACACGTTGAAGCTAGAAGAATTATCAGAGATTTGCTTGCATGATCTTGTTGGCACAAACCTCGTAGTGGTTTCTAAAACAAGATCGAATGGTAAAATGAAATGCTGCATCGTTCTTGATCATGTTCGTGACTTTTGCTTGAGAAAAATTACAGAAGAAAAGTTCATAGTGCCGTATAGTTATCCAGATCAACCCGAAGAACAAAGGTTATGCATGTACTTAAATGACCGTACTATGACAAGTGATTTCAAGGAAAGTGATCCTAAGGAGTTCATTGTTCATCCGAAATTCAGTATATTGGACCGTAAGAATCCTTTTCGTTTGCTTAATAACTTAAAACTTGTTCGGGTTTTACATTTACTGGATATCTACTTGGACAATTCTTTGCCTACTGCATTTCAGTCACTGGATCACTTGAAGTACCTTGCAATTTTTGTTAAAGCATTTGATTTGAAATGGGTGTCACACCTACTTCATCTACAAACTTTGCGGGTTCGTTCATCTTATATAATGATATCCTCTGCTATATGGAAAATGTCAAAGTTGAGGCATGTGGACATAAACGAATTTCCCATTACAGTATGGGAAGAAGAAGATGATATTGTGTTAGATAACTTGAAGACTCTTGGAATGTGTTGTATGTCCGTGGCTGACATGACTCGAAAGTTTTGGGACAAGTTCCCAAATCTTGAAGAAGTCAAGCTCCACATTAATGAATTTGGAGATCATGTTTCTGATTACCCAAGCTCTGCATTGATGAATTTGGATACTATTATTCTCCCCTCGCGTCTCAAGTGTTTGTCCCTCAGTGAAATGTTCCTAACGCATGAATTAGTTTCAAGCATTGCAGAATTGCGATGCCTTGAGACTCTTAAATTATCTGAGATATACTTTGCAGGGAGTCATTGGGTTCTCGGTGCTTACACGTTTGAACAACTCAAGTTTTTGAAATTACATCATGTTTTTATGACCAAATGGAGTTGCATAGAGGAATCATTTCCTTGCCTCGAATATCTTGTTATAAAAAGTTGTCCCAAGCTTGAAGAGATCCCGGAGGCCTTTGTTTATATTCCAAGACTACGATTGATTAAAGTGATCAATTGTAGTGAGTCAGTTCGCGATTCAGCTCAAAGAATTAAACAGGATGTAGAAGATATTGAAGGAGATGAGAGACTCCAACTTCATATCCCCAAGAACTACTAAAGATGGTAACTGATTGTCATTCCTTCAACGGAAAATTACATTGTATGTATCTTTATGATTTTCGACTTCTCTCTACTTCCTTTTGCCATGTAATTCATTCATTTTCACTATACTAAAAATGATCTTTAGCGGAAATAGCTTAATTACCGTTAAATATCACACTTTGTAAATGTCCATAAAGCCTATAGCAACATTAATTCACTAATGTCGGTAAAGACTTTAACACTCTTTGTTAATGTGCATATTTATTGTCACTAAAAATGATTTTTGTTATAGTTCTAGATGTGATTTCCGAGCAGCAGAATCATTCATCGGATCAGATCAGGAGACATCATTAGAAGCTAAACCATTGCAGTACTGAGATGAAAGGTTCTGCTCTGTGGATGGATTGATTTGCATATCATCAATCAGCAAGTTGCTATTGACCTGAGGATATCAATGTCTATTTAGATTTGTGCTTTGTAACGTAACGCTACGTTCTGATATGTATTGTCAAAGACGGAGCCAGAATTTGAAGCTTATGGATTCTGAATTTCTTTTTCACATGTGATCTCAACTATTAATTGTCATGTTTCATTGTTGTTATTTGTTGATGGAAACTATACGTGTGTATTTTAATGCAATATTTAAATATTTTAATGCGTATTTAGATTCATCTTAATGCACCATCTTAATATTCACCTTTGGATTTTAATGCAACATTTTGATATTTATTCAAATTTAAATATCTTAATCTTAATAAGTAGATATATTTAATGTAATTAAGTTATATACCTAATGAGCTTTGATGAACAAATGGAAATAGTTTAATCTAGACATTCTTAAATCAATACTTAAATGGGCACTTTAATTAAAAAATCTCTAATAATTAACAGCACTTTGAAGCAATTATTGATCTCTCTATTTCCACTTTAAGGTGAGATATATTCCCTGTTAGCTTTCATTTTACTTTTCAATTTTGTGCAAGACATGAGAAGCCTTAGAACCTTTGAAGCAATTCTCTAAGGTGAGATCTACTTGAATTTGATGCACTTGAGCAGCCAAGAATTTTTTGAAAAATTTGCGTTTCTAATTTGATTGTTTGTCACAATTTTCATGTCTTATTTTACTATAGTAATGGAACGTATATACTTGTATTCGTAATATTCCTTGTCCTTTACTTAGATTTGATGCACTTGAGTCGATGAAGATCTTTTAGAAACAGTCTTTCTACCTCCACGAAGTAGTGATATGGAGAATTCTGAAGAGTACTCTTGCATTGAACCTTATTATCCCTAATAGACGAAGGGTTTGATGATGATGCAGAGTATTTGATGAGAGGAACAATGAACCTGGACGTTATCTCGATTGTTGGAATGGCTAGAATAGGGAAATCAGCTATTGCTAGAAAGATGTACAATAGCAATATGTCACATGGCATAGCAAGTGGTCTCAAACTCTCACAAGGAAAGTGTTGAAAACGCCCCTAAAGTTTATGGGGTATTTAAGTTCAGTTAATCAAGTAAAAGGAGTGTTTTTATGCCTACTAATATATAGTTTGATAATGAAACTAATAATTAGGCCCTTGTCTCTGTTTCAAACAAGTAGGAATTTTACAATAATTTGTGCATTCTTGTTTAATTCGTTCAGATAACAGAGTTATCTATTTTGAAATATGTAGATTTTATTTCCAAGGATCGTAAAAATGGCCAAGCTAACTGATATGGAGGTCATTGAGATTTGTCCAAAGCCTTCCATGGACGTTAATGACGAATTCGAAGAAGTAGTTGGGTTTGATGATGATGTAGAAATTATAAGTGAATATTTGAAGAGAAGGACATCAACAAATCTAGATGTTATTTCGATTGTTGGAATGGCTGGAATAGGGAAAACAGCTCTGGCTAGAAAGATATACAATAGTAATTCTATTATTAAACATTTTGATGTTCGAGCTTGGTGCTCCGTTTCACAAATATATGATGTGAGAAAGTTATTGCTTGAGATTTTAAAACAAATTGTGTGATGATTGTGTTACTGCAGAAGATAATCTTTACGGTATGTTCAGGGAGCGTCTAATGGCAAGAAGATTTCTCATTGTATTGGATGACATATGGGAAGGGAAGGCGTGGGATACATTAAAATTATATTTAGGTAGTAATTATGGAAAGGGAAGTAGAGTAATGGTAACAACTAGAAATGAAAAGTTAGCTATGTATATGAGGCAGCGTACTGATCCCTATTCGCTTCCATTTCTAAATGATGAAAAAAGTTGGGAATTATTGCAGAAGAAAGTATTTCAAGGAGAGAATTGTCCTTTGGAGCTAAGCAATGTAGGACCACTAGTTGCCAAAAAATGCAGAGGATTGCCTTCTCTGATTATCATGATTGCTGGAATTCTTTCAAGCAAGAAAAAAGAAGCGGATTTGTGGCTTAAGGTTGCATATGATATATGTTCTCATGCTTTCGAAACAAAGATGAGCTTGAAGACAATACAATCTAGTTATGACCATTTAGCTAACCATTTAAAGCCGTGCCTTATCTACATGGCATTGTTTCCTAAAAGTTATGAAATTCCAGTGTCTGATCTACTCGAGTGGTGGATAGCTGAAGAGTTTGTGCAGGACATTGATACGTGGAGGCTAGAAGAATTATCAGAGATTTGCTTGTATGATCTTGTTAGCAGAAACCTGGTAATGGTTTCTAAAACAAGATCGAATGGTAAAATGAAATGTTGCATAATTCTTGATCAAGTTCGTGAGTTTTGCTTGAGAAAAATTACAGAAGAAAAGTTCATGCAGCTCATAGTGCCGTATAGTTATCCAGAGGAACAAAGGTTATGTATGTACATACATGACCGTACTATGACAAGTGATTTCAAGGGAAGTGATCCTAAGGAGTTCATTGTTCATCCGAAATTCAGTATATTGGACCGTAAGAATCCTTTCCGTTTGCTTAATAACTTAAGACTTGTTCGGGTTTTACATTTATTGGATATCTACTTGGACAATTCTTTGAGTGCTGAATTTCAGTCATTCCCACACTTGAGGTACCTTGCAATATTTGCTAAAGCATTTGATTTGAAATGGGTGTCACACCTACTTCATCTACAAACTTTGCGGGTTCGTTCATCTTATATAATGATATCCTCTGTTATATGGAAAATGTCAAAGTTGAGGCATGTGGACATAAACGAATTTCCCGTTACAGTATGGGAAGAAGAAGATGATATTGTGTTAGATAACTTGAAGACTCTTGGAATGTGTCGTATGTCCGTGGCTGACATGACTCGAAAGTTTTGGGACAAGTTCCCAAATCTTGAAGAAGTCAAGCTCCACATTAATGAATTTGGAGATCATGTTTCTGATTACACAAGCTCTGCATTGATGAATTTGGATACTATTCTCCCTTGGTATCTCAAGTGTTTGTCCCTCAGTGAAATGTTCCTAACGCATGAATTAGTTTCAAGTATTGCAAAATTGCGATACCTTGAGACTCTTAAATTATCCGAGATATACTTTGCAGGGGAAAGGTATTGGGATCTCGGTGATTACACGTTTGAAAAACTCAAGTTTTTGAAATTACATCGTGTTTTTATGACCAAATGGAGTTGCAGAGAGGAATCATTTCCTTGCCTTGAGTATCTTGTTATAAAAAGTTGTCCCAAGCTTGAAGAGATCCCGGAGGCCTTTGTTGATATTATACCATTGCGATTGATAAAAGTTATCGATTGTAGCGATTCTGTTGGTAATTCAGCTGTGAAGATTAAAATAGAATCAGAAGAATATTATGGGTCAACCTCCATCCAAGTTCATATCTTGAAGAAAGACAAATGATGATGGTAAGTGATTTCATTCATTATTCTCATGTTTTTGCATATTAGAAAACATTTCTTCCTTGCATATTGAAGTTCAGGTGTGCAGAATAAACGATGTTTATGATATTGATCGATAACATAACCTTTAAGCTAATATGCCAGTTGTGCTACATATTGCATCGACAACATACCAACAATGTCATTTTGATATAACGTTATGGTTTTTGAGTTCTCTCTAGTTACTTCATTTATTTTCCTGTCATTCTTCGTCTTTTCCATATTTTTAACTTCATCTAGTTGTGATTCCGAGCAACAGAATCATCCATCGGACTTGTGAACTTCTAGTCAGAGGATGCATCAGATGAAAGGTTCTGCTTTGTGGATTGATTGATTTGCATATCAGCAAGCTGCTATTGTCCGCAGGATATCAATGTCTATTTCGTTTTGTGCTTTGTAAGGCTACGTTCTTATATGTAATTTCACAGACGGAGGCAGATTTTGAAGCTTATGGATTCTAATTTTTTATCACTGTGATCTGAACTACTAATTGCCATGTTCATTGTTGTTATTTGTTGATGAAAACTATATGTGTGTATTATGTATATATATATCACAATTTACTACCATCCGTGACTCAATTCAAGTGTCTTGGTTTAATTAGACATGAATATAAGAAATAAAGTGAGATTTTTTAAAATCTTGTGGTCTTATTTTAAAGACGTTTGTTATCTATATAATCTTATGTGATCTTAAACTAGTCAGGTTAGTGTTGGAATTGGTAAATTTACTACATATAAAAAGACCTTTTTTTTTATACGAGAAAGTAAGACCTCATAAATATTGAAGAAGAATGTTATGAAGTGTTGTCTGGTTAAATAAATTTCAAGGTTATAACTGCATTTTTTTTGAACATATAACTGCAGAAATATCAATGTAAGCTAGTAAAGAGCTAAAGAAAGGAACGTTAATTTTTAAAAAATATTGGTTCGATCAAATGTTAAAATGATCGGAAAAATAAGTTTTCTCAAGATTAAATATATCGAAGTTCCTTATGTCAGGATTACTATTCCATTCACTACAATCTCGACATAACCAATCCGAGCTTTATTGCGTCGCAAGTACACTGATTTGGGTCGATGTAATTAAAATTAAATCTTTTAACATTATCCAATAAAGGAGTGCCACATGTAAAATTTATAAAGTCAACCTTGCAATTACTAGATCTATCTTTCTTCATTCTTCAAAATTCAAAGTCCACAAAACTTCTTTTCCAATTCTTCCTAAGAGGGAAACCATATAGGCATAGCAATTATTATTTCTCTCTGTATTTGCACTCTAAGGTGAGATCCCTATTTTAGATTTCTACTTTTTTGCTTTTATTTTACTTTCTAATCTAATGAGTCAAACAAATTTATGTGATACTTTGTTGTTATATTTCCATTTACTAATATTTGAAAATAAATATGAAAAAGTAGTATAAGTAGTAGTGATTCTTCTCATATCATTATATGATGAAAAAGTACCTTATAATTTTGGTCTTGGTCAATTATATAGATACAAGATCTAGCGCCTCGATTATAGAGAATGGGGCACAAGTGTGTGACTTGATAGAATAGTGTTTTGAATCTTGAGGAGAAAGCTAGTTTGAATCTCGAAAAACAAAAAATGTTACTAAAAATTGGGAAAGACGAATTTGAGGAATCAACTTCTAATTAACAAATCTCTCATAATGTTTCTAGTGTTGTTAGTAATTTGTAACTTCCATAGATTCCCTTTTACTAGAACATGGATATTGAGGCAAAATGTTTGATTACACGTACTAGATTAACTCTGTCTACCTAGTGTTTGACGGATAGGTAAAA